AGTGCTCGCATCAGCTTCTTTCGCAACAGGCATCAAGAGTACCTCCATTTTTTCTCGGAAGAGAAGGACTTGGTGTACTGTGCAGATATTGCGCAGCTTCTGCTCAAGCTTGGAGTGCCACAGTATGAACCCAAAGATTGGAGACTGTTCATTGACAGCAGCAAGCAATCAATGAAATGTGTTCTGCTACACAACGGCAACCAGTTTGCCTCTATACCCCTGACTCACTCGAGTACACTGAAGGAGAACTATGAAGCGGTGAAGTATGTGCTGGAGAAAATTGGTTATGATCAGCATACCGTATTTTTCGGACCATAGGACGCACTTTTTCCCCTCCAAAAATGAAGGGGAAATGTGTGTGCGTCCTATGGAGCGAATGCAGACTCCTCGGCTTCAGCGATAGCAATGCGAAGCCTCCGAGCCTGCGCTCCGGAGGCTTCGCGTTGCCTCCGCTGAAGCCAGGAGAGTCTGCTCTTGAGGCTGGCGGTGGGGAAAGCAGCGCTCCCCATCGCCAGCCCCAGAGGATGGGGGCAGCGAGAAGGCGCGCGACGCCTTGCCGCTACCCTCCAACCCGGCTCGAGGCTGGCGGTGGGGAAAGCAGCGCTTCCCCATCGCCAGCCCCAGAGGATGGGGGCAGCGGGAAGGGGCGCGACGCCTGCCGCTACCCTCCAACCCGGCCGAGGCTGGCGGTGGGGAAGCAGCGCTTCCCCATCGCCAGCCCCAGAGGATGGGGGCAGCGGGAAGGCGCGCGACGCCTTGCCGCTACCCTCCAACCCGGCTCGAGGCTGGCGGTGGGGAAGCAGCGCTTCCCCATCGCCAGCCCCAGAGGATGGGGGCAGCGGGAAGGCGCGCGACGCCTTGCCGCTACCCTCCAACCCGGCTCGAGGCTGGCGGTGGGGAAAGCAGCGCTTCCCCATCGCCAGCCCCAGAGGATGGGGGCAGCGGGAAGGCGCGCGACGCCTTGCCGCTACCCTCCAACCCGGCTCGAGGCTGGCGGTGGGGAAAGCAGCGCTCCCCCATCGCCAGCCCCAGAGGATGGGGGGCAGCGGGAAGGCGCGCGACGCCCTCCTGCTACTCTCCAACCCTCCTTTGGGCTTTTGCGGGAGATGGGGGAATTCCCCCACCTCCCGCAAAAGCAGGCAAAGCCGCGCGCTCTTTAAAGGGCTCCACGGCTTTTCTAGGAGGTGGGGAATTCCCCACCTCCTAGAAAAGCCCGCAGGAGCCGCACACCCTTTAAAGAGCAAGCGGCTCTTGTGGGCTTTTCCCCAAGGAGGGAGAAGGGACTGACTGGCCGAGTCAGTCCCTTCTCCCTCCTTTGGGCTTTTGCGGGAGATGGGGGAATTCCCCCACCTCCCGCAAAAGCCCGCAAAAGCCTCGTGCTCTTTAAAGGGGCTCCGCGGCTTCTGCTGGCTTTTCTACGAGGGGGGGAATTCCCCCACCTCCTAGAAAAGCCTGCAGGAGCCGCACACTCTTTAAAGAGCGCGCCGCTCTTGGGGGCTTTTCCCCGAGGAGGGAGAAGGGACTGACTGGCCGTTTCAGTCCCTTCTCCCTCCTGGTCGAAAACCCGCAGGAGTCGCGCGGGGCTCCTGTGGGCTTTTGCGGGAGGTGGGGGAATTCCGCCACCTCCCGCCAAAGCAGGGATAAGGTCATTGAGTAGCAGACAGGCTGCGTGCAGCCTGTCCGCTGCTCCCAGAGCTGCGGGGGGGGGGGAAATAATATTTTTTTCCCTTGATTTCCCCCCCTGAAAACTAGGTGCGTCCTATGGGCCGGTGCGTCCTATAGTCCGAAAAATACGGTAAGTGGTTTATATGTGTTGACCTGAAGATGGTAAACTTTTTGTTGGGACAACAGTCTGGCTTCACCAAATACCCATGTTTTCTGTGCATGTGGGATAGTAGGGACCGTGCTCAGCATTACACAAAGAAGGACTGGCCTGTGCGGGATGAATTGGTGCCTTGCAAAAAAAGGAACGTCATCAACGACCCTCTGGTGGACAGAGACAGAATACTCTTCCCACCGCTGCACATCAAGCTTGGCTTAATCAAGCAGTTCACCAAGGCTCTGGACAAGGATGGTGACTTTTCCAGGCTTTTCCAGGATTGACCATGGAGAAGTTGAAAGCTGGCATCTTTGATGGTCCTCAGATCCGTCAGCTCATCAGAGATCCAGAGTTCGGAAAGTCAATGAACGAAGTGGAACTGGAAGCGTGGAAGGCATTTGTTCTGGTAGTGAAGAACTTTCTTGGCAACAATAAGGCCAGAAACTACGCAGAACTTGTCAACAACATGCTGACTGCTTTCAGAAACCTGGGCTGCAACATGAGCGTCAAGATGCACTACCTATTTTCACATATGGACCGGTTTCCTGAGAACCTGGGTTCAATGAGTGACGAGCAGGGGGAGAGATTCCATCAGGACATGAAAGAGATGGAGACCAGGTATCAGGGTCGCTGGGATGCAGTCATGATGGCTGACTACTGTTGGACTCTAAAGAGAGACCTCCCTGCTGCTGAGCATTCCAGGAGTTCCAAGAAACAGAAGTTCAAGCCCTGAAGTTTGAAAAATGGTGAAGCAACATGCAATTTACGTGTACTTACCTTTATCAATGCCCACCATTCAGTTTACAGAAAACCTGACCTGATGGAGAGAAATGGATGCCATTTCCTGATTCAGCAGTGCAAAAATACCCTAAATCAGTTGTAGAAATCTAGACAACATTCAAAAAGTAAAAAATTGTTGCCCAGTGTAATTAGAATAGTGGTATTACAGTTAAGTCTACACCTCACAGGGACCTTCCGCCGGCATGGGAGAGTCGTGAGTGCAGGTGTTGAGGGTTGGCTTGGTTGGGACCCTTCGGGGACCCAGGGCACCCACTGGCAAGAGTCCCTGGGACCTTCTCCTCTTCCTCACCACTGCAACAGTGTGCCCTCCTGCCTCTCCCTCTGGCCCAGAGGGGATGACCAAGCAAGCGACTACAGTGGTGCATTGAGCGAGGAATCGTCACAGTCTCTTTGCTCAATGGCTGCCTCGCAAATAAGCAGGTGGTGGGAATGATGGCGTAGGAGCAGCAACAGTTGGCAACAATGACAGTGGAGGGTGGATCAGGGAGAAAGGACTTCAGGCTCAGGCGCGGGGGGGGGGATGTGCCCCCCAGACCTTTCTATGTGGCCCTTGGGAACCTCTCCAGCCACAACCCTCTCTGCCCCTGCTCTGCTCCTTCCTTGGGTGTACAGTGGTACCTCGGGTTAAGTACTTAATTCGTTCCTGTGGTCCATTCTTAACCCCAAACTGTTCTTAACCCCAAGCACCACTTTAGCTAATGGGGCCTCCTGCTGCCGCCGCACCGCCAGAGCATGATTTCTGTTCTCATCCTGAAGCAAAGTTCTTAACCTGAAGCACTATTTCTGGGTTAGCGGAGTCTGTAACCTGAAGCATATGTAACCTGAGGTACCACTGTATATGCCTTGCTGGAACCTGTTGATCTCTGATCACGCTTTGTGCTTGACTGAATGGAGGGTGTCTTTTCCTCCCCCAAAAGCTAGAGGAGTTGGGCGACTAGAACTGGGGAGGAGCCCTGGGTTCGAATCCTCAGGGGAAAAGCAGGATGAAGGAAAGAAAACATAGGCTTGGTCAGAGGGCTGTGGCCCCTTTGTTAAACGCATGAGGAGGAGAAGGTAAATTACGGGCCTTTTCCCAATTTGAGCTGTGCGGTAGCAGTTGGCTGGATTAGCCACAGGGGGAGACGTCCCTTGACGTTTTAAGTGGTCTGCACACACAATGTGCCGGAATGCAACCTGTCTGCATTCCAAACCACTCTGACCGCACTTAAAAAGCCAGGCATGTCTTCATCCTGAGGGAGCGAGCGTGCAAACCATAAAACTCTGGTTCAAATCTTATCTCCGTCAAGGGCACCCTGTGTGGCCTGAAGGAAACCGCAATTATATAGTTCAGTATTTCTGAAGTAAACTGCCAACCTCTACACACACACACACCCCGTCCTCAGATTCTTTCAACTTACCTCATAGAGCGTTTGCTCCAACTCCTGGGTTCCTGAGTTACTACAGCATTACAACATGCACATCTGGGGTTGTGAATGGGTGGCAGTGGGGATGAGGCTTCTCCATCCGCCTGCGCAACATCGAGAAGGAGCTGAGCCCATGTGGTGGCCATGTGGCGTGGGTCTCTTGGGGAGCGCTTCTGGGTTTAATTAACCTGTTTATTGCCTGTAACCTGCTGCGGCACGCAAACAGAGACCATAACCACGGCCGCTCTGAGACACTAATCCGTGTGGTAATGTTTTGACACCTCCTGCTTTAAAAAGGGGGAAACAAAAAGCCCAGAAGGAGTGTGAGCCCCTTTTAAATGTGTTGGGGAAGGGAGGGCATTACAGTGGTACCTCGGGTTAAGAACTTGATTCGTTCCGGAGGTCCATTCTTAACCTGAAACTGTTCTTAACCTGAAGCACCACTTTAGCTAATGGGGCCTCCCACTGCCACTGTGCGATTTCTGTTCTCATCCTGAAGCAAAGTTCTTAACCCGAGGTACTACCGGTATTTCTGGGTTAGCGGAGTCTGTAACCTGAAGTGTCTGTAACCTGAAGTGTCTGTAACCCAAGGTACCACTGCATTGGGTTGTCTTTGTTCTTATTTTTATTGTGTGTTTTGTGTTTTTTTATATTGCAATCTTATGTTGTGAACCGTCCTGAGATCTACAGGTATAGGGTGCTATACAAATTTAACAAATAATGAAATAATGAATAATAATTCCCAACCCGGTTCAGGAAACTGAGCTGTTGCTGTAACATGGTGCCTATTTATATTATTATTATTAATTAAATTACTATAGCGCCCTTCATCTGAGGATCACAGCACACTTTGCGATATGAAAACACAAAAGTACATAACATAGTGACGAGCAAAAACAATGGAACTTAAGTTTTTTTTTAATCTGAGGGTGCAGCTTTTATCTTAACAACACCCCAGCTTCCTGTCAGATATAAGGGAAGGGTCGCAGCTCAGCGGTGCTAGAACATCTGCTTTGAAAGCAGAATGATGATGATGATGATGATGATGATGAAGAAGAAGATGCAGAAGGCCTCAGGTTCAATCTCTGGCATCTTCTCTGACAGCTCAGTTGGTAGCACATGAGACTCTTAACATCAGGGACATGGATTCGAGTCCTACATTGGGCAAAAGATTACTGCACTGCATGGGGTTGGGCTAGATGGCCCTTGGGGTCCCTTCTAACTCTATAATTCTTTGATTTCAGGTAAGACTGCCTGAAACTCTGGAGAGTTGCAGCCAGTCAGTGTTGACAATGCTCTAGGTTCAATATAAGGCAGATTCCTATGTTCTATATTGACTTTTCACAGGTACACCGTATAGCGGCTGGGAGTGACAATACATGCAAAGCACATCCATAAGTTCATGCTGCTTCCCAAACCATAAAATAAAGTAAAATGCCATCTGGTGCCTGAAGGCCCCCTTGGCCAGCTGTGGCTGTGTAGGCTGCTCCAACCTCTGAGTTAGCACCCTGAGAGAGGGCCTCACCTGTGTGCCCCATTTCGGCTGGACGGGATGTGTGGAATCTATCCCTCTGCAGTTCACTATCCTCACCATACCCCCCCCCCCCAAACACACACACACACCCCTGTCTCATATTTGCACAAACAAAACTTGAACTTTGAGCAAGAGAGAGAAAATCCCAGGTCCAAATTAAATAACCGCCGTCTTAATCCTCCTATAAGCAGTCCTTTGGCCCGGGAAACAGAGATCTCTTAATGAAAAGAGGACTGTAAACAGCCAACCCTAATGACATCCTTCAGATCAGTGCAAACACAGCTCTGGATCCGGCCACAGATTCCCCCTCCTCCCTTAATCCCAGCTGAAATTTAGGACCACCCCCCCTCCTCCTCCACCTCGCCGCCAAAAAAATTCAGCCCGAGGCCTGAGAACCCCTCTGTCCGTCCAAGAGACGTTAAGTGTCCGTCAGAGGGGCCAGCTTGGCTTCCACATGTTTGCAAACCGGCTCATATCCTACAGCAAGAACCGAGCTTGATGTAGTACAAAGGGGGCTTTCAAACCATTCCCAGGGAAGAGGGGAGACTGGTGCATGAGGTCAAATGTGGCACTGCCCCACCAACCTCCTTCTGCCTCCAGGCAGCCCCCATCTGCCTGCCTGCCTGCTTACAACCAGCCTGGGGGCGGGGGGCAGTGGCTGTCAGCCTCCTCTCCCTTAGTCTCAGAGTTGCCCTTGCAGAACTTGGAAGGGAAGACAAAACCAGAATGAGTTGTGGTGCAGTGGTTAGAGTGCCAGACTGCGCCCTGGGAGACCAGGGTTCAAATCCTCACTCAGACACAGGACCTTGGGCCACTCACTGCCTCTTGGCCTAGCCTACCCCACCAGGTTGTTGTGGGGATTAAATCAGGAAGAGGGGAGCCTTGAGCTCCTGGGAGGATAAAAGGGGGGTATAAATGCAATAAACTCATACATGCGGGCAACTCCCCGCTTGCGCGAGGACTATGTTCCGAGGCACCCCATGTTTAAGCGGAATTGTGTATACAGTCATACCTCAGGTTACAGACGCTTCAGGTTGCGGTTTTTCAGGTTACGGACACGCTGAAACCCGGAAGTTCCGCAACGAGTTACTTCCAGGTTTCGGCGGTTGCGTATGCGCACAAGCGCTAAATCGCACTTTGCGCATGTGCAGACGCACCGAATTGCAACCCGCGCGTGCGCAGACGCGGCGCTGCGGGTCGCAAACACTGCAGGTTGTGAACGTGCCTCCCGCACGGATCACGTTCGCAACCCGAGCGTCCACTGTATTGGGAACACCATTGAGAAAGCCTGCAAACACCCTCTGAACCTCTAAAAACCCTTTAAAAAACCAGCAGCGTTTGCAGGACTCCCTCCAAATTGCCTTGCTCAAACTGCAACTCTCCGCAGACTGCAAAGGTCAGTGCAAAGTCTCCTGGGATTGCACATGAAAAAGCCTTGTGGGATTGCTAGGTTCTGCTTTGTGCCATTTTCACGTTTTTTGGGGGCCATTTTTGCCCCTCAAAGTGCCGCTTATGGGTTCTGGCATTGCCCGTGTGCGTGGCCATGCGTTACTCGAATGCACGTAAATGGGGAGTTCCCTGTCGTTGACTCTACCTGTCATTGGCTCTGGCTGCGCCTATCCTTGTTTCTGGTTCCGCCTCCCTGCCTTGTGCCCTTCCAGACACAGGGGGCATAACAGATCTCAGATAAGAGCAGACAAGATTCTGCAAGACAGCCAGTCCTGGAATTGTTTTATCTTCCATTGCCATGGGCAGCCACAGGGGTGGCTGTGTAATGGAGGGATCCTCTCTCAGTTCATCCAATGGGATAATGAGGCCCAAGCAGGCTCAGTGTCCACCACGAGATGATTCCGCATGCACCCCACCAGAAGACTGCATGAAACTGCCTTATGCTGAACGGTTTTCTCTCTCTCAGCATTGTCTGTGCTGATTTGCAGTGGCTTGTGAGCAAGTTGACCCACGTCACCCCCAAAGCAGAACTGCATCACCAAAGAAATACAGTGGTATTTCGGGTTACAGATGCTTCAGGTTACAGACTCTGCTAACCCAGAAATAATACCTCAGGTTAAGAACTTTACTTCAGGATGAGAACAGAAATTGCACGGAAGCGGTGCGGCGGCAGTGGGAGGCCCCATTAGCTAAAGTGGTACCTCAGGTTAAGAACAGTTTCAGGTTAAGAACAGACCTCTGGAACGAATTAAGTTCTTAACCCAAGGTACCACTGTAGTCCCCGCAACTTCTCAGCCCACAAGCAGCGCAGCAAACTTTGACTAGCCATTTGATTTGAGACCGATAGCCACATTCCCTTCGAGGAAACTCTGAGGGCCACATGCCAGGGGTAAGGGGGCCTGAAGTAAAAGTGGGCAGAGGAACAAATGCAGATTTGACCTCTGTATAGCTGGGCTAGTTTCTACAGAAACTCTCTATCCTCCCTCCAGGCAGGAAAGAGGCATTCTCAGAGTTCAAGGGCATATTCCAGTCAGGCAAAAAACTTTCCAGGAGGGTGTAAGTCATATAATCATAAGAGTTGGACGGGACCACAAGGGTCGTCTAGTCCAACCCCCTGCAATGCAGGAATCTTTTGCCCAATGTGGGGCTTGAACCCACAACCCTGAGATTAAGAGTCTCATGTCCTACCAAGTGAGCTATCCCAGGAAGCAAGGCAATTGAGGGGCGTGGCCAAGGGTGTTAAGTTGTGGGTGAACATATCAGATGACACAGTGATTCTTCAAACAGCTCTTAGAATCATAGAATCATAGAGTTGGAAGAGGCCACAAGGGCCATCGAGTCCAACCCCCTGCCAAGCAGGAAACACCATCAGAGCACTCCTGACATATGGTTGTCAAGCCTCTGCTTAAAGACCTCCAAAGAAGGAGACTCCACCACACTCCTTGGCAGCAAATCCCACTGTCGAACAGCTCTTACTGTCAGGAAGTTCTTCCTAATGTTTAGGTGCAATCTTCTTTCTTGTAGTTTGGATCCATTGCTCCGTGTCCGCTTCTCTGGAGCAGCAGAAAACAACCTTTCTCCCTCCTCTATGTGACATCCTTTTATATATTTGAACATGGCTATCATATCACCCCTTAACCTCCTCTTCTCCAGGCTAAACATGCCCAGCTCCCTTAGCCGTTCCTCATAAGGCATCGTTTCCAGGCCTTTGACCATTTTGGTTGCCCTCCTCTGGACACGTTCCAGTTTGTCAGTGTCCTTCTTGAACTGTGGTGCCCAGAACTGGACACAGTACTCCAGGTGAGGTCTGACCAGAGCAGAATACAGTGGCACTATTACTTCCCTTGATCTAGATGCTATACTCCTATTGATGCAGCCCAGAATTGCATTGGCTTTTTTAGCTGCCGCGTCACACTGTTGGCTCATGTCAAGTTTGTGGTCAACCAAGACTCCTAGATCCTTTTCACATGTACTGCTCTCAAGCCAGGTGTCCCCCATCTTGTTTATTCACAGGCCAGAACAGAACTAAACTGAAGGGTTCAGCCAGCCTGCTTATATAGAGCTCCAGTACAACACAACTGTAACCACTTTCTGTAACTATCCAATCACTGAACGTCACTTTCAACTCCCTATTTGCATATGTGGACCTGAGTGAAAACTATCTACAGTATCCCCCTGCTGGCCCAGGGTGAGAACTTCAGTACATAACAAAAGGGAGGGTGTGTGTGGTCTGTGGGTAGTTCCAAGTGAGAGGCTTGGAAGGCAGTTTGCCCTCTGGGTGTGGGGCTCCTCACCCCTCTGATATACTCCTAAACATGCTTAATGTTCTGAGTGCCATTCCTTACGAAGCCAAAACAGCACCATCCAGCACATGCAGGGGAAATCACAAAGACTGCAGGAGTTCCAAAATTATTTCGTCCAACCCCCTACAGTGGCATCTCCCCCCCCCCCTACAAATAGAGCAGCCCAGTGAGGACTGAGAATACTCAGTGGGCACAGAATGCTAACTCACTGTTGGTGTGTCAGAAACATAAATAGGGAGAAAGAAATGGAGTGTCTGGAAAGCAGACATGGCTGGCTTGATGGCAGGAGTGCCCCCACGCTGCAACGTTTTGTTGCAGAGCCCACCTGTCCGTTCTAGTGACCCTCTGTGATATCCTGCTGTGTGCAGGGCTTCCTTTGACTTATTCCTTATTTGTTGTTTTGCTTTGCTTTAATCAACCCCCCACAGACCAGCTGCCGGCCCAGGCAGTGGAAAAGCAGCCGGGAAAATGTGAGTCAGCCAGGCCAGCCGCCACCTCTTGCCCTGCCCGACAGGCCCCTTTCACGTGTTTTCCTGGCAGGGGGGGGGGGGGGCTTGTTGCCAGGAAGAGAGAAGCATGTGTGTACGAGGTCCGGAGCTTTTGTGCGAAGGCGTTGCGGGCGGAGCTATCGGGGTGGGTCCCCATTGCTGAGGCCACACGAACCTGCTACAGAGACTTTTTCCAGCGTGGTGAAAGGTTCCAAAAGCACATATTATGTTCATTAAAATATCGTGGGTATGAAGAAAGGAGGTGAGAGATAGAGAGAAACTATCCTTCCCCTCTCTTATAAAACCAGGACCCTGGCAGTAGG